GAAATACACCACCAAATGACACATCCTCTCCAAAAATAACTAGAAAGTTGAACAGGTACCAGTAGGCGATTATGAATTGCCATTGGGTAAGGCCGAAATTTTAAAATCGGGCAAAGATGTCACGGTAGTAGGTTATGGATCACAGATTTACGTTCTTGAAAATGCTATACAGATGGCAGAAAAAGCTATACCTGGTCTATCATGTGAGCTTATTGACTTAAGAACGCTTTTACCATGGGATGTTGACACGGTTGCAAAATCGGTTGATAAGACTGGTAGGTTGGTTATTGCTCATGAGGCACCACAAACCTCGGGGTTTGCAGCTGAAATTGCGACCAGTATAATGGAGCGTTGTTTTTTGAGACTTGAGGCACCAATTCAACGAGTTTGTGGCTGGGAGTAAGTGTCATTCGTGAATTATTTATCTATTAATATGTTAATAATAACGATATTTATTGTTTAATAGTACCCCGTTTCCTCTTGTATTTGAAAAATTTTATGTCCCTGATGCCATAAGGTGTTTGGATGCCATCAAAGAAGTTGTTGAATTTTAAAAAAATTCAACTTTATCTATGTCTATCAAAATTTCGTAATTTGGTAGGATTAGGATAAATTACAGTTGGCCGCTTCAACCATTTGGAAGAAGTGCTTGATAAAAATCGACAAAGACAATCAGTCCTTATTGAATTCCGAATTATTATATGCAGAACAAGGAAAACAAACTTCGACAATAACAGTAAAATGATAGGTTATAGCTTTATTTATTTAAGTTATAACCATAGGCACCAGAACAATTAAATGGTTTATTTATAGAAAAATAATTTAAATAATTTTATTTAATAGAGAATAAATAAATTTTTATTTTAAAACGTATCTCGTATAATATAATATATAAAGTTTATATAATTTTAAATTGACATTTTTATTATTGGTATTAAAAAATATTTTTATTAATAATTCAAGTTATTTATTTATTTTCAATTAACAGGGCATACCTTTTTTTTTAAAGTCAAATGGCATTATGTTGGATACCATTATTATATCAAATATCATTTGTAATATTATATTATAATTAAATACTAGCCTATTAACTTATTTATATCCAATGATACAATTTATATTCTGAAAGTAGATTCATATATATATATATTTATTTAAGAGGTAAATTATACAACAATGCATATCTTTTATTGATACTTAATATATAAGCTATACATCAAGTGTCTTTTAAGTACAAAGTCATTTTTGTACTATTTGTATACCATCTATGTCTTCTATGTAAGTAGAATTAATACTGCTTATTGACTATTACTAGTAATAGTTAACTTAATATATCTTTAACACAGCCATATAAACTTGTACTATATAAGTAGGCCCACATGTCAGGTGAAACTATTGTAGGAGATGGAAAGATCTGTTATCAGTTTAAATTCACCTAAACTTGTTAGTCCATCTAGGTTATTGGAAACATGTATCTTTTAGGATTGATTAGAAAATTTGAGTAATCTATTCAATACTTTTCATTTGAAATCTTGAAGAAGATATTGTATTTATTGTCATTACCTACAGCTTCCATTTATATAATGGATTATTCAATTTTCTTTTAAGTAAGTACTGGATTGGAATAGTTTCAAGTTAGAATATTCTTTGTACTACAAAGTCTATTGTGTCAAGAGGTTTGTAAGTTTTTATAGAAATTAGATCAGAAGCTTTTTCTTATATAATCTTTTTTACTTTGACCTGTTTTTAACTTACGATTATTATAAAGACCAAAGGTTTTATCATTATATAGCCTAACTAAATTTAATTAGAATTTAGATATTTAAATATTTCATATATAAAAAAACTGGTAAATCTATATACAAATAAATTTTTGCATTTATCATCTTCATGATTGGTTGATCGGCTTCCAATTCATGTCATACCCAATCAGCCAACAAACAATCAATTTTCCAAATTTAATTAGGTTGCATGAAGATGGGACCTCTGGTCTTTCTGACAATTATGGGCTGAAAACAGGTTGAAACAAGGAAGGTTGCATAAGGAAAGACTTTTGGTCTAACTCTGGTAATAAGCCCATAAAATTCCAACCCAAACTGATGATGGCAAATTCCATTACACAATATAAAGAGGTTAATTCTAAGCTGATCTATCCCAATCTGAAGCTTGTAGATCTATCCCAATGGTGGTGTTCCATGAAACTTAATCATATAGCCGAAGGACAAGATATTAGTCACAGGTGGTGAGAAGACTAGACAAAAATTGTTAAGCCAAGTGAGCCTAGTAAGGTTTTACAAGATTAAATCAGAATCCAAGCAAGGATGCCAGTTCCACAGATGATAAAAACGATAGTATGACACTATGCTAGTGGCATATCCCGAGGATCAGCAATAACAGAAGATTAAAATTCTGGGGTTAATCTTTATAATAATATTTCATATACACTACTCCCTGCAATAATGAACTAGCAGGTTTAGGTGGATTTAAACTAGTGGTAGGATTCCCCCCCTGCGAAAGTTCCATCTGATATGTGGATATATCTTCTTGATGTTTAAATGAACATATAGTTGGGTAATAGTGGTTAGCATAACTAGTCTTATAGTAATATATGTACTAGGCAGTATTGATTTGTAGATTAACTGCAAAGATATAAAGAGTATCCTGTATCAACCGATTGTTAGTTAATTTGTAAAGACACTTAGTGTCTATTTGGATATATAAATATATCAATAAAGATTACGCACCATGCGCATGTTCCATTATAAAAAAAAAAAAAAAACAAATAAATTTTTGTATTTTATCTCCTATAAGTATTGAACTAGAAACATGCATTTGAAGATCTGGAAGTACTACCCACTATACTATTAATTTATAGATTAATAGATTTATATATATTGACATATACTAATTAACTCTATTAGTAACAAAGATAAAAAAAATTTTGTTTTACAAGTAAAAATATTTTTGGCAGTCTCTTTTTTAGCTTTATAATCCTAATTCTTTTTTAATAAGCCACTAATTTGAATTGCATCAATTTTTAATAAGGGATGGTTATACTCTACAACAAGTTAATCTAAGCAAATTAACATATATCAAAAACAAATAATATAGCAAACTTGTTTACAAGTGTCAACCTAGCAAAAGTCCAATATAATGGTTAACCTCAATTCAATTCAAATAAAAAATTTAATAATAAACTATCTTAAAATAATTAAAGATAATTATAATAAAGAAGAATAAAGATAGTTTTATATTTTAATTAAAGATAAAGCAACAAATATAGCTTCAAAATTGACAAATCTAAAAACAATTATAAATATAATAATTGCAAAATTTCTTAATATTAACTTTTATATAGCTATAAAATAGATATTAACTAAATAATATATTAAATAAATATATACTAAAAGATTCATAACAAATATCTCAAATTGTAGATATCCTATATTTAGTTCAAGATTTATGACATTCACAAAATGAAAATTAAGAATTTATACTATTTCCTAGATAGCCCATGATAAAAAACAATAACCAAAACCACAATATCTAACAAATTATTATACAATTCTCTATTTCAAAAATAGTTATAAAGGTTTAATTAATAATTCATTAAATAATTAAGAATTACAATATATTTAATAAAGATAACAATATAATATTATCAGATATTTTTTTATCTATAGAAGATATTAGAACTTTACATAATCATATAACAAGAAATAGACAATATTTATCACAAAATCTCTTTTACATTAATAAAAAAGAATTCTTTAAAGCTGAAATTTTAACAGCAGTAATATCAAAAAACAATAAAACAGAACAATTCAAATACTTAGCCAATATACTTAAACTTCTACAAAAAATTAACACTTAATCCAATCAATATTCTGAAATGACAACAAATAGTATATTATTTATTTTTAATATAAAAATAATCTCAAAACCTATATAAATAAAATTAATCAAAAAAACAAAAGAAGTATTCATTTAGCTCCAATCCAAGAACCAAATATCAACAAAAAAGATTAAGTTACTTCCAATATAACTAAACAAGCAACTGCAAAATTAGCTAATAGAAAGCCAAATCTATTCAACCAAGTATACAAGCATAACAAAGTCCAGTTGCAAGTCAGATACAATCCAACATATAAAATAAGTAAAGAAAAGCAACTTTAACAAGTTATAGAAATGTTAGAAGTTACTATAAAACACAAAGAGATTCAAGTCCTAGCAATAAAAAATAACAAATGGATAATTTTCAACTTTGATAATTTAATAAATGATATCACTTGCAAATAACAACTCCAAAAAATTTTCACTTTTCAAAATATTATTATCAACATTAATAACAGTGTTTTATCTCCAAATATTTTATTAGAAAGTTTAGAAAATACTTTTATAATATTATTATCTATATTTGAAATAACCAAGATAATTTTAATAGATATTTTTATAGATTATACAGTTAAAAAAATCTAACATGTTATTAATAAATATGGAAAATCTAACTCAATTAAAATAATCAAAGGAAACAACAACTTTAATAATATTATAATATTCTTTTATATAATAAAAACAAATCTGAACTCAGTTTAATTTCTACCTTTAGACACTTCAATAGCAAGAATTGCTTTATTAAAAAATTATTCTTCAATTTTAGAAACTTACAATCAAGTTATAACAAGACTTTATGGAATTGACAAAACAACTTTAACTACAAAAATAATAAGTATTATCAAATATTTTAAAGCCAAAATAATACATATTTCAATAAACAATAGAATTGAGAAAAAGAAAAACTTTACTATTATTAGTTTTAAAAATTAAAATAATCTAAATAAAGCCTTAATATTCCATATAAAGTTTTTTGAATACAAAACATAATGAAATATCAAAAAAAATATCAAAGTTTATGAAAAACAATCCAGGAAAAAAAAACACATATAAAAAGGACAAGTCAGCAGAAAGCCACCTGAATTACTTAACAATAAAAAGCTCTAGTTTTAAGTCCAGTTACAACAAAAAGACCTTCAAATCAGAACAGAAAATAAAACAGTAGAACAAGATAAAAAAAAACAACAAATTAGAAAACAAACAAAAAAAACTATTTAAAAGTCAATTTTATTTAGAAATTTGAAATAATATTCTATTCATATTAGAATTAATTAATATTAGATTGAAAAAATTGGTGAGAGTGTAAAATAGTAGAATCAAGACTTACAATCAATCTTAAAGATACTTCAGTTAAACTAACATCTACAATTGAAAAGAAAGAAAAACAATATTTTATTAAAAATACAAAAATTTCCTTTGATTTCTAGTAATAATTTTCTTTTTACTAAAGATACAAATATATCAATTCTTATTAATAAATCTTTTTTTTTTTTGATAGGTAAACATCATTTTTTTATTAATAGTATTATACTGAAAAGTTATATATATAGTAAAAGAAACAACATATCTTGTGTATGAAAATGCAACAAATTAAATACTAGCTTACTTATATATCTATACCTAATTAATATTGAAAATAAATTTTAAAACAATATTATATATGCTAAATATAACTGAATAGTAGCTATGCCTACTTACTTAAAGTTTTTTGATTAGATGTAAAATAAATAGAAAATAAAAAAAAATTGAAAAAAAAAACTGGAGCTACAATAATATTGGCTACTGCTTAAATTATAAGATTTATATAAACAAAAAGAATATCTAAAAGATAACCAATAATCTGGCCCTTGT